TTTGGCGCCTATGCCACCTATCCCCTCGCCTCACTTCCGCCATTCCATTCCAGGTTCCACGCTTGATGCTGCTCAGTGCATTTTAGTAAGATTTGGTAATGAATTTTGCAGCCTTCAAAACACAAAAAACAGTAGGCAAACAGACCGACTGAGATAACACGTGTTATGTCATGTTATGTGATGAAGTCAGTCATTGAATTGTACTATTGAATAATTGTAAACAAAGGACTTATTTTTGAATGGGTACCAGAAAGTCAGAGAACAGGTTTCATGGGGCCCCCCCCTTGATGCTCAATTGAAATCAATGTGTTCTTTAATTTGGTAGTACATAATGCATCCTTCAAAACACAAAAAGTCGTAGGCAAACAGATCGACTGAGAAAACCCAACAATATCCTGCAAACTTGCCGTCCAAATCCCATTTTCTCCCATTGACCTGACTCCGAGCAAAGTCCCCAGGAAGACTGCAGGCTTGCCAAATGTGCGAAGAAATCCACTTAAAACAGGTCGCTTGTTCATCGTTTTGTCAACTTATAGCAACAATGACTCTAAATTATCACCTGTGCCCGTGCATCAGAATGTGATAAAATAACATTCAGCATTGGGGGCCAATGTTTGCCATTTTGTATACAACAGCCCGTGTGCAGCAAAACACGAAAAAGACGCAGGTCCAAAACGTCCGTGTGTTCTGCTGAACTTGGTTCGCGGCTTTTGACAGTCACATGTCACAGGTTCTTTGATAGCTGTTTCCTGTCACATCATGTCAAGGCTGTTTCAAAAACATTAAAATGCGACCAAAATGTCAAAGAACAAACCCTGATAGAGGCAGCACACTTTTCACATCAACTTCATCAGATGAGAAAACTCATCAAACGATGGTTCATTCCGCAAACTTGTAAGACTATTGCCTTCAGCAGAGCCCACCGATGCGATGATAGTGCCAACATTGGACTCCTGGCCGGAAATAATTTTTGAAAATGTCCTGCCCCGCCTCCCAAACATGACTCGCCTCCATCTTCAAGAATTGACATCCAAAATGGCAGACCATTAGAGAAATGGCTGCAATAGCGGCGGGGCATCATGTGTTTGCTTCAGTTTGTTATTTTTTATTGGTTGTGTTATTGATGATGTTTTATGCTTAATGTTTTTTTTTAAACCAAAGAAACATCGACAAGAAAAGAGCATCATGCGTTGATCTGTTTCTAGTTTTTTGTCGTTGCTCTTTGTTTCATGAATGTTTCATGACTCGATACTGGTCACGGGCACTTTCTTGAAACCATGACTTCCAGACCCATTTGACATAACTTTGGCTAGAAACCGTTTTTTTCACTTTTCCGATTAAATGACTTGTGCAGACCTTTGAATTTGGTGTGTGAACGTCATTGTATATTTATAATATATATTATAATATATAACGTTTTGTTTGAATCGATGTGAATCTCAGTCGTCGGTCGCCCCGGAGATCCGGAAGCCCATTCACATGTCAACCCCGGTCACGGCCGCCACGGTCCAGGTCTCCGGCGGCGTGGTGAAGGAGGTCACCTGCGGAGGGGCCCAACGCTCGGACGTCGATGGCAGCAAGGAGGTCGGAGCGTGGCCCCTCATGGGCGACGCCGTGGCTCGTCGGTGGAGCGGACTGGGGGTTAAATGAGGTGGGAAGCACGACGAAACATGTGGAGCGCCCCGGGTGGCTCCGTTTTGGGTGTTTGGCTGGTCTTGGGCTGCTTTTCAGATCGGCAGCTGGCGGAGGTTTCACAAACAGTCAACCAACCCTTCTTTTTTGTGGAATGTTCATAGATTACTGACTGAGAAGGGTCTTATGGATCACGTGGCTTTAGAAAGAGCTGGTGGGGGTTGCCTGACAAATGGGTTGCTCATTGCTAACTGGTCACTGACTGTAGGGCAGGCGTAGACATGACACGTTTGCCACATGGCACATATTTGTTTTCACAAAAAACATGGCCATGTCTTTCTTGCAAGCATGGGAGATCATAGGAGTGTTTCAAAACATGGCCTAGCCTAGCAGCCTAGCCTCTACGGTGGATTCGGGACACACGGTGCAAACCATCTTTGTGAACGTGGATAAACACGCGCGTTCAGTGTTTTTTTTGTGCCAACCTGCCAGATCCGCACTTGTGTGCGGGCCCTACATGCCTTTGGTGTTTGTCAGCAGGGGACAGGGAGCATCCAATATGTCCACCCGCGGACTGGGTCGCGCTCAGATCTTCATCCCGTGGGTCGACCAAGTGGTCCGTGACTGGTTTGTGAGTTTCAGCTCCTGAAGCGAGTTTGGCTGGGTCGTCAAAGATGATGTAGAAGTCAGTGGGATGATTGAAACACAAATGGAATGGCGCAGCACAACCTGGTCAATGGAAAATCTTTGATATACCGTGGGGAGAGCAAGTCCCACAGAACAAAACCAAGAGAAATGAATAGTTTGATGAACACAACCATTGCTGCGACAGATGCGGGCTTGAAGAAATGACCCTGGGCTTGTACAGAGGAGTCCAGCGGTTTTACCATCTTTTACCCGCTGCCGATTGTTTCTCTTGGACTGGAGAGCTGAAAAGCCTCAGCGTCCTTTCGCAGAAGCTTTAGACCTGGAAGTGTTTTTTTCCCATCCTCCAGCCTTGACAAACATGCCGGAAATAGTTATAGGATGTTCTAGGTGAGTTGGGGGCCATGGTTAAATTGTTGACCGTGTTTTCGTGTGCTTTGTGCTTTCAGGGAATTCTACAGTACCTTAGCTGAGCCCCTTGCTTTGGAGGGCCAACTGTCCTGCTTCTATATGAAATTCCTTCGATTTTCCTTGGGCATCATTGTAGTCAGACCACCCAGGCTATGGAGTTGGCCTGGGACGTTTCTCGGTTTGCGTCCCAGGCCCGGAGATGGCGATGTCGGCCTGTGAGGGCTATGCAGCAGCTGGCCCCAGATTGGGGGTAGTCCGTGTCCAGGTGTCGCTGATGGACCAGGAAGGTGGGGTCGCTTTGCTTTTGTCCGGAAGCGCCACCACGGTATTTATATAAGATTATTTAAGATATAATATATGAGGTCATTGCCAATACTTAATTATGTTGTGGAGGATTTGGTAGAGCAGGGAAAGCTGAGTGAGTTCCAGCATTAGTGACCGAAGGAGTGAGTTAGTGAGTTCCAGCATTTGCAGCAGGATGCAGTAGTCGTCAAACATTGTATTCGCATTGCGCATTCATCGATATGCTCACATAAGTGTTCAACATATTTTGTTCGGGGTGTATTATCCTGTAGTCCCCCCCCCTCGGTTGACAAACACTTTCACCGTTGAACAATGTTTTGCTTAGTTGGGGTCCCCTACCAAGGGAGACACATATTATAGCAAGAAGAGGCAGAAGAATGCAGAAGAGGTTTCCAATGAATAGATCTACGATGCCCAGGACCCTTTCAATTGGGGTATACTATTTGTGTTCTGTGTTTTTTAGTTATTTTTTTTGTGTGGGGGGGGGTCGGGTCAATGACATTGTTGCTCGCACATGGCACAATCTAGCGCCCAACTGAGCAATTTGGGAGGAATGCAGACGTGGCCAAGAGCAAATAATGCAGACCCGACCAGCATGATCAGATATGTTCAGGCTTTTTTGGGCTCTTGAACCTGAATTCGTTTACTGTAGTTTAGTCTTCAAGAAGTGTGGAGGTTGGCCAGGCGTCTGGAGGTGGGCTGGCCACCCTTTTTTGTCCACCCACCCCATTGAAAAACGATGCCGAACTAGCCCCCCTTCGCAGCAGAGAGACAGATTAACATGTGTTGTGTCGTTGTTTGCTTGTCGGTGGGACGATTTAGTAACCGATAAGCCGCATGTCATCCGACGGTCGAACTGCGGGAGCTAGTCAAAATCGAACCACAACACTGCAAAACTGCTTCTGGTCTAGAACCAAAATCAAACCTGCAAAACTTGACTGCAGGTGGTGTTCGGCCAATGAGCCAAGCTGTGTTTCCATGAGACGGCCCAAACACCGTCAATAGAACATGTCAGGTTTTCTATGGTTTTCTGGCATGCTCATGATGGTTCCTAACAAGCCCTCATAGGCCTTATCAGCATCATCAGAACCAAAGAACGGGTTTGTCTCAACGTGTGGGGGGTGCAAGCCCCGTTTATTTTAGAAAAAGCTGACCAACCAACGGTGTTGGAGGACCCAGCCTCAAGTTGTAAGAACCAATGGTCCCTCAATATCCCTTAATACTTATTTGGTTTTCAGACCTCCAAACAAAACAAATCAAGAAGCGCTCTGTTTGGGAGTTGTCAAAGCCCAGCCAAAGTGGGGATTTTGTGAGAGACATGGGGGTTTCAACAATCGAACTCATCCACCTGGCGGTGGCCAGGTCCAAACTCCCACCGAAATCCACCGAACCTGGCACTTTCCCCAGTTCTTCATATAGTTCGTCACCGAGGCCACGGACGTGTGCTTCTCACCACAGGCGCGTGTGCTTCTCGCGGTTCGCTCCATCGGATCGGCGGCGGTCGACCGCATCCGATGTCGCTGGGGGTCGACCGCTCGGTGTTCGTAGCGCTTCGGCGTTCGGCGTCCGAAGAGATGGAAAAAAGGGGATGTCGTTCGCCAGTCGTTGGGGATGAAGCCGGGCATCCGACCAGGTCCTGAGCATTTGGGAGCCATAGTTTTGGCCATAAGCATTCTAGTGAATGCTTTGTTGGGGGTTGTTGCTATTCTGGACATGGTTGACTTGTTTGTTAAGTTTTTATATATGTAAAATATGCGCGTGCACGTTATTTTCTTGGTCCTGGTCATTGCACCGTTTATCAATTATCAGACCTAGTGTTCCTGTTCAACATCATTGGTTCCACATTGCCGCCAGGCAACCCATCTCCTAGTGGCTGGTAGCGACCGCACAGTGGGCCAGCCATGTTTTGATGATACTCTTTGGAATCAGAGGGCAGAAACACTTGTATCATGCATGCGTCAGGGCCATTTGTGTGGAATGCACTTGGTGCTTTCATTCTGCGACATGTCAGCCGCAGCCATCGTTGATGCACTCTCCCCGGGCCTTTGGAATGATGTCGAATGCAGTGGCGCTGCTCATGGCTTCGGTGATGCCGCTCCTCGTCCCATGCGCTGAGCTGCGCGGCTGGCTTTAGCATTTGCTGAGGTCGCTGCTGCGCGGCGACGCACGCTGGAGCGAGGATGACTACCATCGAAGTGAACAACCTCAGTGGACCCCTGTGTAGCTTTGCCAAAGGAGTTGAGAAGCAAAGACATGTCAACAAATCGCCAGAAGCCCTTAGGCTTGAGAGTTCAACCCGTTGAATGCCCAACCTCACCAGCCATGGCGCGGACACGGCACTGAGGCACCATCAGTGTTGACCCCAAAGGTACAATTGCGGACCTGAAAGTGGCCTTGGCCAAGGTTGGCTGGATTGAAGTTAGAGGGGCAGCTGGCCCTCACTCTTGGAGGGAGCTTGCTATATCGGTGGATTTGCTTATATATCCAGGTGGATTGATCTCTAGATATCTCATGATATCTCTATATAGGTTGCATGGTTGCATGTTCCAGAACATGCTCAAACACATTGATTTGTTTATATATTATATGTGCGATTTGATTTTTTGCTAAGCCTGGTGCATGAGGGGAATGCAGACTGAACTTGTTCGCTGTTGCACCCGTTGCAAGCTGCCAATTCAAGAGTCCTCTTGGTTTGCATAAGCCATTTGCCCTTGGTTGATAGTTGGGATTAGTTGGGCCACGACGGCAACTCCATCCAAATGAATGGACTCGCATGGACGACGTGATACGCATTACAGTTACGAAGGTCAACGCTCACGGAGCCAATAACATCCAATGGTCAACGCGCTCGTGGCGTGCGCTCGCTCGTGTGGCGCTGGTTTGACGAAAAGCTCACATCGCCCAAATCGGCCGGTCCAACTTAAGATTTGTTGGAGACGAATGATTTTAAGTATAAAATTCTCTCCATTATATATATAGTCGGTTTATATATGTTTGTTTTTGCTCAACATTATGGGGGGGGCTGGCGGCTCTCGCGGCCAGCTTGTGAGTGCGCTTGGGAACACAGGTGACCACTTGGAGTCTAGAATTTGGAGCTGCCGGATTAAGCTGTCAAATTGGATCAACATCCTGGTACATGTCCTAGGTTGCAGTGTTATCAGTCTTCCTGGACTTCTTCCGCGGAACTCATGATAGCAACATGGGAAGGACACCTGCAAATTCAAAAAACGACACACCGATCCCCGTGCTTAGTGGGGGAGCCTTTTCTCCAGGTGCTGGGCATCCCTAAGCGCCAGCAGCGCCTCATCTCTGGTATGTCGGCGCTGAGCGATTCACAAAGCACCTTGACGAGCACTGGTCGCCTACGTTCTTCGAGAGAGGAACCATCCGAGTGAAGTGCTGAGTTGCTGAGTTCTGTATGAAGAGGGTGTGTCCCAGAAAGCCACTATAGGAATCGGTTGGTTGGGGGATTTGATTTGGGTGTTGAGTATTCATATTACGATACACTGTTGCTGGTGATGGGATATGCCTAAAGTATGAACTTGTAGCAAAACTATGCTGAACTCTGTGAGACTTTGAGCATGACTTCATCATGAATATTGTTTACGACTGAGGAGACCAGACACCTTCAAGGGATTACATAAGAGAATTACGGAGCTGCCATGTTGATTCTCCCCGGTTTGCTTTGTTCCTGCTTGCTTTCTCCTCTCTTGGTTTGATATATAATTGATTTTTCCTCGGGCTTCGTTGTTTTTTTGTCGTTGTGGTATCGATTCGTTTACGAGAGATGTGGCCAGCCGGAGAGCTTAACTTTTGCAACCGAACGGTTTCAATCAAACACGCACGGGGCCTAGCAACTGCATGCACATTTTTGCTCAGAGACTTTGTTTCGTTGCAAAATCCAAGCAGCGTGAATGAAAAGGGTCCCATTGATGGAGTCGTCAAACGTTCAACGAACTAATGTGATATGGGGCCGCTTGTCATGAGAAGGGTTGCAGCTCAAAAGGGACGGAGAGTCTTGCATCTCAGGCGTCAGTGACGTGGTGGACCACACCGTCACCTTCATGCGCATCACGTATTCGGCATTGGCCAGGTCTTGGTGCTTCGGGCTGCAGGGATGTTGGAGCAACCCGCTTCGGTTTTTTTCCTCTTTGTTCAGAGGCCAACGGAAGGGTAGTGCACAGACTGTGCACAGAGAGTTTTGCAAAACCTCTTCTACTGGCTTCGTGGAAGGCCACTGTCTCCACACCCTTTCTCCACACACCCTACATTTAGCCTTCCTTACTCCATGAGTTGAAGGCCAGGCTAGGCCAAGGCGGCCCAGGAAGCCTATGTTGTGAGCGTTCTCGCTGAGATCTTGCTTCTCCTGCGAGGATGGGACAGGTGCGCCGTCGCAGCGCACTACTCGCATCGGCTCCCTTGGACACTTGGCACGTCGCATCGACGACGGTGCACCCGGCCGTGGCAGAGCTGGAAACAACAGCTGAAGAGTATAGTTCATTAGTGCCCGCAACTGGAAGCACTTGGAAATCCAGTCAGGCTTCTCAGGACACCTTCGAAACGGTTCCCGTTTCAGACCCCCAGACCCCGAGAGAGCTGGGATCCGAAGAGTTGGGTGCGACGACATGGGCCGCCGCAGAACAAGCGCGGAACATGGATGAACCATCTGTCAGTTTGGTTGAGTCAATGATTCATCATCATCATCATCATCATCATCATCATCATCATCATCCTCGTCGTCGTCGTCGTCATCATTATCATCGTCGTCATCATGATGATGAATCATCACCCAACTTAGGGGTAGGCTCCTTGTTGGCAAAGAACATATTGCCAATTGAAGCAGCGTTGCTGTACTGGCCGAAGCCTTCAGATGCGTCCTTTAAAGCACAGGTTTTATCAAATGGTGGGGTTGGAGCTTGGTGCAGGGGTGTTCCATTTGTAAACATCCGTGCCGGTTGCTTGCGCATTATTCTTTTGAGCCTAGTTAGTTGATTCATTGATACATGATCGCCACAGACAGGGAGATGAAGATGACGCGGATCTTCGGGTGTCAGAATGTCTCAGAATGCCAACCAAGCTGGGACATGCACAGATACCCTCCAAAGTACCTTAGACAATGGGACATGACCCTATAAAAACAGGTACTTAGTACCCATTTTCTGAAGTACTTTCAGACTCCAGGTATTTATTATTCAGTTATTCAGCTGGCTTTGTGATTGTCACTGCTTGTCGGGACCCACTGACAAACATGCATCTCGCAGTCGTGCAGGATTCTCCGGTCATCCGTGACGGGCCAATCATGTTTTCATTAAGCAGGATTCAGCATTGAAAGAAGATCCCTTCAAGGAAATGCATTTGATATTCGATGTTGATTGTTTTTGACACGAAGGTCCCTCCTTATCATCATATTTTAGCGTCTCCTCCGTTGCCAATGTGCACAGATAGAAAGAACGTCTTGTTTAGGGTTCCTATCCTATGGGTTAATTTTAGGATGAGGCCTCGTCCCATGCTCGGGCCTCGGCTGGAGCAATGCGGTACATGTAGCAATCATGAGTTTCTTGGTTGACTGAGCTCGAAATCTTATAGCAATTAGTTACTTAGTTGTATGATTGATATTGTATACAAACTGCATATAACAATCATGATTATCATTGTTTAATAGTTATTTAGTTATTGTTGTTTTTGACCATGTGAACCGCACCGAGGAGATTCGACAGGACCATGAAGTGGTCCTGACAGCAATGCAAGGGGATGCTTGGAGGGTGGACAGGAACATGTGAGATGTTGTTTCATTTGTGATTTGTGATTTATTTGTGAGAATACACAGACACACCTAATACACCTAAGACCTCATTAGTGGTTTCTTTTGGAGTCTTCTTAGGTGTATTAGGCTATGCAGACACACGTTTCGTGACACACGGCGAAAGGACCAATCCAACAGGCGCTGAACGGTGTCAGGGGAATGCAAAGGCCAATGAATTACCCAACTGGTGGTTGACCGGGACCTGTTTGGTTCACTTGCTCTTGTTCGCTTGACTGCCTGCTGGCAATCCACTGGGTTTGCACCATCACACACACACTAATGCGCGTGTTTGCAGTGTTGCGTGATGGCCTCAGGACAAGGAGGCCATCCGCTGGGCGGCCGACGAGCTCCTCAACGACCGGGACTTTGCGCAGGCGGTGGCCTCGCGCTATGGCCAGGTGGGGTTGTAGAAGGCTGATTGGAGCATTCATGGTCGGTGGGTGGGCAGTCATTGACCAAGGAAGGATATATAACCCTAGACCCCGCAAAAGACGTATTTTTTTCTGGTGAGGGCAATTTTCAGGCGAAGCTCAAAAAACCCACACAACAAACAGTTTTGGTGTCGATTTTTGTCACTTCTGCGTTGTTTTTTGTCACTTCTGTGTCATTTTGGCGTCATGGTTTCTGTCGCGAATTTGCTGCATGTTTCTGCGTCATGTTTTCTGGCGAGACGGAAAAAAAGACATCGTTTCAGGGTCCAGGACTTTAAATATGGTATGAATATATCTAGATGAAGCACCTTACGAAACCATTGCCCCAGGGCACACGTGGGTACACTGACACTGGTTGGATGCTTTGTGGACGTGGTCAGCCAGGCTGATGGCCAATGAGCTAAGGGTCCAGTATTTTACCATCCTGTAGGCCCTCAGCTTGGCCCACCCACTTCAGGAGGCTCGTGGATTTTTCTAGCCGTGCGTATACCGTATACCTATTAGTGCGATTCCGTTGCTGACACTATAACTTGCATAACTTGCTTAGATTTGCTTAGCTTCAGCTGGGCTGGGACCACAAAGCGCTTCCAATTGGCGACGCAGTCTCCACCTTGGAGCTTCCCAAGGCCTTGCGCCACCTCCCTTCATGGCAAGGAGCTGCTCAACTGCACTGACAAGACCTTGCCGCCTTGTTGGGTGGCGATTCTCAAGACCTTCGTGGTGATTCGCAAGACCTCTCGTTATTTTCAGGGATTCCCAGGCTTACCACATCACCATCGAATGGGGTCAAAAACAAAAAAACACCCGAGCTTCACGTTGACTGATGAATCAAGCCCACTCCTATTGAGATATTTTTCATTGTTCTATACCATGCAGGTATGCGGTATATTTGACCCCCTTGGGTGGTCCAGGCAGACATCTATTTCCAATGTCCCGCGGATCTAGCATCTCTCAGGATCCAGCGGTCGTGCTGGCTGCAGTGCGTCAAAACGCCAGCGCCATTTGCTTGGCTTCACCTGGCCTGGTGGAGCAGTTCGACTTCCTGCTCGGGCCTCGAAACCAGGGACCAGTGGCGGTTCAGACCTGGTAGAAGTCTCCCGGGCACGGGTGGTCGCCTTATTTGGCAATGGACTGATGGGCCGAGCTGCTAGACATTCGGAACCAGTGGGGTGGCCAGCCCTCTGCTGCGCCGCATGGCGTCGGTTTAGGAGTTTAGGTGATATGGTTCTTGGTAAGAAGGCTTAACCCACCGCTTGCGCCGAATAGGACACCAGGAGATCTGTCAGGGCATCTCAGGGCTAAAGAGTGAGTGGTGAGAATCGATTTGGATGGGCCAGTGAGGTGTGGGCTGTCCAGAAAAATCATGGGCCAGTTTGAGAAATGCCCAATTGTCGCATCATCCGGTCTCCCAGGAGCTCACAAACTAAAATGGTTTGGCTGTTGGCTGTTGGATGTCGGGTGACCAGACTCGACCTGTTCCACGTGCACCCAGGGCGGAGGCCATCAAGTGCAGCAAGGGTCATGCCTTGCGGCACCTGGGCAGCTTGGAGCGAGTTCAGCCACCTGGGAGGAGTAGAAGCAGTGACAAATGGGATGAAGGAACTGTTGGGAGGACGGTCAGTCTGTTGGGAGGGCGGTCAGAAGGACATGGCGAGAAGAGTGATTGGATGAGACAAAGATGGTCTCGCAGACGGACCTCGTGTTTTTGGGGATGTTGCATGGATTGAGAGTGACTCGCTCGTTTTATCCAACAGCCACCTCGTATGGAGACAGGCTCAATCTTGCAGACGAACTGGAGATAGATCAGGTCCAGGTAATGGGAGTCCGTAATATGCAAACCTTTGGCCGTTGAGATGTGTTTTAGCAAAGCGAGCAAACAGAGCAAACCTTCCAACCGGGGGCGACGGAGCGATGGTACACACCGTGTCAACTGAAACATCGACATGTTCCACGAGCTCTTCGTTTCAAGTTCGCTGAGTTTAACAAGTCCAGTTGCCAGACTGCAGGCCAGCAGGCCTCAGAAGAATGCCTACCAAAACGCATTATATAAAGAAGCAAGGTGTTTGGACTAACTTCCTAGCCAGTGCATCAGGACCATCGCGGTGTTGCTGTGGACAATGACAATGGCAAAACCACAGGGTCAGCGGTTGAATCAACTTGGAAATTGTTTCACTGACCAAGGGCGGAACTTCCAAGAGGATCCGCGCTTGCAGAAGGCGGCTGTTGCATCCAACTGGCTAATGTTGGATGTACTTGCGCAGGACATGCCCAGCCTACGCATCTTGGCGGTGAGTTGGTGAGAATTGGTGCAACCTCATGCTACTGCTACTGCAGAGTATTGCATAGTGTGACTGCAGGGGGTTGGTCTAAAGAACTGGCTTGTCGCGAATAAACGCCACTCACTCACATGCTTGACATGGCCGGCTGGAGCAATTAAAGACCCAAGAGAATACTGTTTCCAATCTGTTTCCATCTCTTTCCTACAGAACGGGTGATGTTCGACCTCCGCCTCTGTCATATCATCAGTATCAGTAGCAGGATTGGATCCTAGACTAGATATCATTTTGCTTGCCTGGTAGCAGACAGTCATCGCCTCACTGTTATGGAGTTTTTGGACCGAACCCTTTTTGATACCAAAACTGATTTGGGATCAACACCTAATGGCCTAGGCCCTTCTTTGAAGAGCTGCCCTTTTAGCTTCTTCATGTGCTCCTTTCGCTACAGGTGATGACCGAGAGGTTGTTTTTGCCGCTGTCTCCTGCCACGGCTGTGTTGGGCTCTCAGATGAATCAGCACGGCTCAACACACATCGCAATCCTTCAAAGTCCAAGCCGTCAGTGTGCGGTACGTTGGATTAAGAGGCGCTCCTTTGCCCGGACGCAGGTCAAATGGTAAGATCTTCGTCCCTCGAACTTCTCGTTTAAAGCGGCAAAACATGGTAAAACTACCGTTTTACAGTTTTACTGTGGGACCTGTCCGTTTCTGCTGGCCTTTACCATAATGTACGGCTGTACCGTCGGACATGTTCGTGTCTATATGGTATGTATGACCAACCGGTAAAAGGTGCGATGACTCATTTAGTAAAGAGCGGTCGTGAATTTCAGGAATTTGGTTGCCCCCCCTCAAAAGCAACAACAAGAACAATATCCCTGTAGTTTTTGCTATTTTCAGCTATGTTGACATTGTGGCTAAGACCTGCCTTCACAACACGTTTTGGCGGACGCTCACAGCTTTTTACAATTTGACGGTTCTATCGTTGAAATTGTTTGTGTTTGCTTGCTATTTTTCTCCGGTTTGTTACTTTCTACCTATATACAGTATACACTTTCCATTAACTTCCAATTTTCACCAGAGATACTTTCTACTTCTACTACTGCTCCTCACATTGACGGCCACGACAACTACTACTGCCACTGCCTATATAATGCCACTATACCACTACCACGACTACTCCTACGTTACTACTGCCTGCATTATACTACTACTACTACTGCTACTGCTACTGCTACTGCTACTGCTACTGCTACTGCTACTCCTACTACTCCTACTACTCCTACTACTCCTACTACTCCTACTGCTCCTGCTACTGCTCCTGCGCCCACTCCTACTCCTACTGCTACTCCTATTGTTTCCCAGTCACCGCGTAGAGGCACTTTTAGGTTGTTACCGTTTTTTTTTTCCACGCCTCGGCGTACAGGGAATTCCTTAGGCTCAAAGTCCACCCACTGCCAGCACTTGGATCTACTGACGGACCACTTCTGCGACACTCCCGCCCTTTTGGGTGCTTTGATCGACTACCTTTGCTCCAAGGCTTTGGAGTTCGCCTCCAAGACCTTGCGTCAGGACCCCTCCCTGGTGCTTTTGGCGCTGCAGCGCAGCAATGGCGCCGCACTCCGCTGGGCGGACGAGCACTTGCGCGGTGAGAGGCCGCCGGGGGTATGGCACCGCAAGGTTTTTTTTTTCCAGGCGAACGGTGGGTGCCGTTGCGGCAGTGGTTTGGGCATAAATTACATTTCTATTTAGTAAACTCGAGCTGCAGTTTTCTTGACCTTGTTGCGTTCCTCGTCAGATGAAAGTCACACGCATCCGAATTGATTTTTAAAAAGTATTGAATCAAATACAGTCTTTGCTAGAGCTGGGCCAGGGAGCTGGTGACCAGACAATAGCATTCGGCCAAGAAAACAGGCTAGAAAACAACTTGTCCCCCAATACGTAAGTCTTAGACAAAACTCAAGTCTTGGCTGGGGCTGGCGGGCTGGCTAGCATCATGTTTAAATCGCCCCTAGCTGGACCAACTTGGGTTTACGTGAAGAGAACCCGCCCCGGCCAGCACTTAAACTAACTCAATAGAAGATGGCCCACACTCGACCCACCTTTTGCCATTCCTCAGTCTGCAGGGAGCTGGTTTGGACTGCAGTCCAGGCGGACGCGAGCAACTTGCAATATGCATCTGAGGACAGTTACAGCATGCTATATCACTAGTGACGCTCATAACTTATAGCCCCTATTGCAGATGCATAGCTGTTGTTCAGTAGCGTAGCTTTCACTAGTCGCTAGCAAATGTGTGTGTATGCTGCGTATGTCATGGCAGTTTAGCAAACGAAACTTTCTTGTGATTGAGTCCTTGAGTTGGTTGCTTGGGGTGGCAAACTCAGATGACGCAAAACTTGCAGGATGTTGTTGTAAGATGCTGAAGCTGATTGAACCATTCATCTGGAGGACCTCCGCAGAGATGTGGATCTGGTGATGGAGGCAGTCAGGAGTGGCTAGGTTGCAGAACAGTGGTGATGATGACGATGACAACCATCTTCTGAGAGGGTCCAGATGGATGCCAAGGCCCATCGGTCCGTGGGCGAAGATAGACACCATGGGTGGCTCCAGTCAAACCGCCCCTTCAGTCTCAAAACAAACCACACCCCAGTTCAGCTCCATCCAAGACTTCAAATCGTAAACCTTCCACACTCCCCAAGAAGCTCCTTAAACCAGACCCCTGTTTTGACACCAGGCAATGGCAACGTCCTGAAATACGCCGCCTTGGACCTGCAGCGTGATGCCTCTGTCCGGCGGGTGGCCGTGCAACAGGCCGGTGGCCATGTCTTGCAGTCGCTCTGCTGTGGCCCCTCGGTGACGATGCGACGCTCGGTGCGGCCGGCCGACCGGACGGAAGGAGCGATGGACGGAGTCCGAATGGTTGGTGCACATGTTCAATGTCAAAGGTGAACCTGAAGGAAACTTATTAAGGTATAGTAATTATACAGGCTAGTGACTAGTGTTGTCACAGTGAGGTCTAGTGACTAGTGTTGGATTGAGTTCTTCGTTGCGGTGGTGTGGTGCTCAGAGACGGTTCTACCATGTTCTAGAGTTAACGTAGCGTTTGACGGCTTTGATTAGAGTGGGCATGGCTGACACCCTGACGAACTCTTCCAATCGGTGCTTGGTTCAACTCGGAATCACGTGTGAGCACTGCGACCTGTGAAGGTGCATTCCGCTCAACCGTAGAGTGCCTACGGAGATAGTCTCCCATTGGCCTCCCGTTCACTCGTTTGCAGCAGCCAATTGGAAGCACAACTTCAGATGAAATGTGTATAACTGCAGACGGTTGAAATACACCGCGCCAAAGACGCGTTTCTACACTATAGTGCCAATTCTATACCGCTTAACTTAGCATTAGCATTGCAGCTCAAAACAGTGCGCACAGCTTAACGGAATTGACTTGTTTTGGTAGGCTGAGCCTGTAAACGCAGGTCATCAGTCGTAGTCGTAGCCTCTACCACACCGTGGCTACTCCTGAAGAAGTCCAATCAGCTCTCGCTCTCATACCTGTCATCGGTGATGCGGTGATGCATCTAGATCAGGTGCCGCATGGTGCTGCCGAGGGCAACCTGGTGCCCATTATGGGACCGGATGGCGTCACAACTTCCAGTTCACCCAGAACAGCCTGCAGCATATAACAGCTGCGAATATTAAACAAGACGCTGTGCGAAAAGAAGCTGAGCAACGACACCGTGAAATCATGCAACGCACTGTAGCCACTTTGTCCAATCAGTGTAGGATTGCGATCAGTCAAATGCGTGAAGTCGGTGACCGACATATTGAACCCGAAAGCCAGGCGAAAATAGCTTAAGCTGACAGTCAGGCTGACAATCTTCACCAACAGCAGATGAAGGAGCAGAAGGAGGAAGCAGAAAGCCTCCACAGCAAGAAGATGAAAGCTACGGGCAGTTCGGAGGCCTCCAGTCGCAGTTGGAGACATCAGACAGTTGTTCCGAGGCCCCACCAGCGCACAGAGACGCATGCGAAGGCGTGCTTGGCTTGGCCCACGCCGGAGCACATGCGACATCTTCTGCCAGCAAGAGCAGCTACGCCGGCCCACGTGGCAGACGGTTGAGTCGCCACCCATTCCTGTGCTGGCAAGGCTTGTGCAGGGTGTTTGCGCTAGCGGGCTTTTACGTATTGTCATAACCCGTTGTCCGTTCGCTAGCGTCACTGCCCATGTATAGCCTATTATAGCCTCTATTGGACGCTGGCAAAGCCGGTAACCACGTTGCACTGTGATTGCGGAGGAGGGGTGTTGAAATACACCGCGCCAAAGACACGTGTGTAGTGCCAACTCGATAATATATTGCAGCATGCTGCAGCGCAAAAAACATTGCGCATAGCTTAACGGATAGAGTTCTTGCTGGGCTGCACAGACGAGATGTCACAGAGGCCCCAAAGACTTCAAACAGGCAATTTTGACGTTCTCCCCCCATGGTTTGAAATTGTTCTGTGGTACGTAATGATTTCCGCAGATCTGGGCTGCTGCTGGTGTTCAAGGCGAAAGGAAGGTCTTCAGAAGGAAATCCTGGAACACAGAGTTCGCACTCTTATAGGGGACTTCTAACCAAGTAGATCGAAGAGGTTTAGTCAACTATTTTCCTGGGGTTTTAAGTAAGTCCCTCCGTGGTTTAAGGCACGCTTGAAACGAGTCGGAAACGTCGGTAAAATCCAAATCCCTGTGAAGCAGGGCATCGCTTTGGCCCCCAAGGGCTTCCCGGTGATCAGGAGAGCTCCTGGATGCCTCGGACCTGGACGCGATTGATATTTTTGCCGAGCCCTGCTGAAGCCGCCCACCTGCATCTAGACCGCCCGGCAGGCCTGTAAAACAAGAGGTGTCCTTCCTTTCCCATACATCAGGATGCCCTTCGAAACCTTCCATGTCCAAGATTTCCTAGAAGTGATTAGAAATGGCAAATTTGTTGGGCGTGGCCTGCTTTTGCGACTTGCGACGGGCAGAGAGACCATTGTCCGGCCCGAGGCTGATCGTCAAGAATTGAACTCAAAAACCTGGAGATGTTCAAAGGAAAAGCCTCGGAGCAGCCCGCATTTGGCGGCGGTCCGCTCACGAGATACACGTTGTTCCTCAATTCATAGGAATTCAAGAGCGGATTTAGGCGACTCACTGAGAGGGAAGAGATCATTTTTTGTTGAATTGCGAGTGGACATCCTTAAAGACAAGAACGCTCCGCGACCTTGCTTTGGCCCCAGTACAGTGTTAAATGTCATGACACATCACATGAAGGGCTCGCGACGTGAAATCTTCAGGCATTTGCTACCGGCCCTTGCGTCCTAGTGGCCCTTGACGCGCATCATTTTAAATGGGGGTGCGCAATAGTGTTAGGCTACGAGCAATTCATTCATGCTAGCCTCCACAGTTGCGACGTTGCCATGGTGGAGCCAGGACCGCGCTGTGGCTGATCTCAAGCAGCATGGGTTGCTAGGTGTCGATTGTGGTAGGGATTGGAACTTTGTAGAGGGACACATGAGTGTTTAAAATGGGGAACCTTGTAGAAGCAGGCATTTTGTGTGCCAAACACCAGCAAAGATTTTGCAGTTACACATTCGTGACGATGATGTGGATGTTTTTTGTCGCTGCTGCGTCCTGCTGCTCGCAGTCCCTTCTCCAGAAGTTGACGAATTCCAGTCTCATATGGGAGATCGAAGCACCCAAACTTGCCAACTCGCCCATGTGCTGGTAAGCAGTGTCCAAGGATAAGGAGCAGCGATGTCTGGCCTAGCCCTCACAACCTAAATCTCCTTGGATTTGGAGATAGGATTTGGTGAACTCATCCTATCCTAGGAGAGTTGTCCTTGCATTTGAAGCATTTGAGTTGGACTTCACCGTGGCGCAGGAGCTTCCCCTCACAAGACCTATCCGCCGTTGAAAGCAAGGTCTGCCCGGAGGGTCCGTCGAGTCGCAATGTGGCGTGAGGACTAGGTTGAGGAAGCAACGTGGAAGGAAACGGGTTCAATACAGCATGTTTTGAAGGGATTGCTTCCAACTTATTCCTTTAAGCTTAGAGGAATAGCTTAACAGGAAGGAAACTGGTTCAAATCTGCGTTGTCTTAAAGGAATTGGTGCCAAAGCTATTCCTTTAAGCTTGAAGGAAACTGGTTCAAATCTGCGTGTCTTAAAGGTATTTTTGTTGACGGTTGGAGGCAACCAAGGTAGAACCTATCAAGGTGGCCAAGACGAGTCGCATCAGCCCTATTTGTGGTCACCCTAATGTGGTGAAGACAGTGTTGCATTGCACCTGCTGCAAGAGACCAGTCTCACCATCATTCCTGGTGCGTACGGTACGTCAAACGCACCGCAGCCTGGAGGCATCGGGGACTCCAGGGATCACTTTTGCAAGCAGGCTGGAACCAGCTCTGTCGCTTGGCACGTGATGTCTCATGTCCGATCAGACCTGGGTCGAGCCGGTTGCGCAACCGGCAGGAGGGATCTATATATGAGGGAAGACACTGGAACCACTATGACTATAACTATATGAGGGACTCAGGGACATATATATGGGAAAGAAATATATTTTGGCTGAGGGAGAAGGCATGTGAAAGGAGAGGGGTACGTTTGATATGGCTTTCTTTCCCCGCAAGGGACTTGCCAGGGTTTGTGCTAGACGCCGTAGTCTTATTGTGCCGTCAAGCAGGATTTGGATCTACAGGTTCCTATCAGATTTGACTTCAGATTTGTACTAGACTAGAATTTGGATTTTTCAAAGACCCCTGGAAGACAACAAATAGAAAAACAACATTAAAAAAGACACCCATTTGTAGGCGTTTGTAGGGTTCTGCCGCGGTTCGCCTGTTATATAAAAACATTGAAACATATTAACACCATGTTCAGGTGACGGTGACAAGTAATCTGTTTATGCTAAGCCCAGGCAAAGTGCCCAGTGCTCCAGCCCATGCCCGCTTCGTGCGCGTACCTGGTGGCTGGCGCCCGCGTGTCCAATGCAAGGCTGGCGCCCGGTTCAAACGCCCAACCTCGCTCGGTTCAGTTGGAGCAAGAATCCAGCAAACCAATGGGGGGCGAGTAAATGAGAGTGGGACTGCTTACGTGGCCATTCCTGCATAACTGGGGACCAGCAAATGAAGAAGTGCTAGATATAGAGCCCATGGGCACTTGTGGAGATGGATGCAAGTTATGTAAGGATAGGGGCACATACGCAACCAGGAATCTGGACCCAAACCCTTGATCATCTTTGATATGCCTAGGAAAGAAGTTCCAGTGAAATTTTGCAGATGCATTGAAGGGCATCCACGGAGAATCGGATGCCGGGGTCTGGGGTGTGCTTCGCGCATTTTCGCATCACTTCGCATCAGGATGGTTCTCCCTCACCTGCCAGCAAGCCATCCCAAGGTGCGCGCGCGCGTGCGCGTGCGTGCGTGACTCGGGTGATGATTTGCAATGCCTGCACAGTTCTCGGTCTCAACCTATTGGGCAGTTTTGCTTGTCACCTGCAAATGCCCTTCCCTTGTTTTTTTCTTGCTGGGAAACGCTGTCCACGTGGGGGATGGGGAAGATGGCTCCCATGACGAGGAGGTAGGTAACCGTCGAATCATTATATTTATTGTAGATTGCCTTGCGCATTGTGCCCTGTGACACTGTGTTTCTCCACTTCTGAAGTGCCCTGTGTTTCTCCACTTCTGAATAGATATATAGATGTTTTTCATAGAGGCTTGAGAGTTTAGAGATACCTGAACTATGACGAACTCTTACAGTGGTTTCAGAGTAGATGGCACAGACCCCAAGATGTCCTAGACAGATGGAGGTCCATATCAACCACCGATATTGGGGTTTGTGCCATAGACTGATAGTAATCCACTATAGTCTATAGTTTTTTAGACAGACAATAATTCAAGCTAGGACTGCTGCGGTGTTTTTCGGTGAAGCCTTCGTCGCCTTCCACAGGTGAAACATCACCCTGCTGGAGCATTCCACAAGGAAGGGAGGTCAACCTGAGCAGCAACGATGCTTGACCGAATTGTGTTTTTGTGTTTGCCTTTTTTCTGAACTATGAGGATATGACCTCAAGTTGGAGGCTATGGAGTCTGAAACGTGCTGTTTGACCAGTGGTTGGAGTTTGAAAAGGTGGAATGTCATGACTCATCTGGCCCTTTTTCAGCCCACGGAACCTTTGTTTCGCCTTTTGCCGTTTAGAGGCTCGCTATTAATCTGCCTGTATGTCATGGGGTCATCGCTCGCTCTCATGCGGGATTTCTGATAGGGCAGCTGCACGGCCAGCTGCTTGAAGCTGCATGAGGAAAGCTCGCAAGTCCACTGCAATCCCATGTCTCTTCGCTAAGAACTGCGCTCCCCACCATACAAGGCCCACATGGAGCATCCGGAATTAAGAACTGAACTGACAGAAATATGATGTAATATATATATATATAGAGTCTTCGCAACTCAGTGGTTGACACTCGTTCTCGGGATGTTGCAGGGCACTTGATCCCCTTGATCACCTTGACCGCTCAGGAGGAATATCCATCAATCTTCACTTCCAGTCTTGGCCGATCACTCTTGGCCCTATCCCGACCGGACGCCGTGGAAAGGGAGAAGAGACCTTACAGGACTGAGATGACTGAGATGAGTGCCTGGCTTCTTATAGATGATATTGATGATTGGGCCACAAGGGTGTTCGGCCCGAGTGCTGCAGCCGACCAGTTTTTGTTCACACCATGTGCAGATCAGTTTTTGTCAGGCCATGTGCATCGCATCCGCATGGGGCGGCTAGATGGGTCGATGTGGATACCCAACGGGATGCCCAACGGGGCGCCCAACGGGGGGGGTGTTTGATGTCTCATCGTGGCGTGGCATTCGCCGCAGTCCGCCGTCTACGGTCCTCGGTTCGTTGTGCGTTGGCCTTTTGGCCAACCAGCTCCACTGCAGGAGGGACTGTCACCTGGCAAAGGAGTTGAAGTCATGGCCAGGGAAGTTTCTGAAGGACCTGGGATTTGGATCTGAAGGGAAAAGGATGGAAAAGGAAAGGGCATTTCCAATATTCCAGTTGAAGGTATACAAGTCTTGTGCTGGCCCAGAGATAAGGTGCCCGCACAAGGAGAGGACTCGACATCCCAATTCCAACAAGGAACTTTGTCACGCATGTCGCATGTCCCACAACAACTGACGATACATGCAATGGTGCTTCATTGCAGCGATCTGTCCACTGAACCGGTACGGTATTTTCCCGAATGCGTAGCGAAGGGTTCTCGTTTAACTCTTGGGGGTCTGGGGGTAGAGCTTTGTTCGCGACCCGTTGCTTCTATGTTCGCAACCGTTGGCAACCGTCCGCAGTAGAGCGCTAAGGCGCTGCCATTGGGGGAAGCTTTTGCAAGTGACTTTTCATGGATGTGTCACGTGTCAGTTTGCGACGCTATTCCATTGTGATTTGCATGAAAATGACATGTCGCGCAAGAAGCGTGATGCATTTCGCTGCACAGGCGCAGCGTTTTGTGAGATCCTCAGTTTGCTACGCAGTTCCATTGGGATTAGCATTTGGAGAGTCGTGTTTTTGGGGTGTTGGATGTGGCCGTGCCATTGGGATTTCCGTTTCAGGGTGTGGCATCGAAGCTCTGTTTTCGTGACAAGTCCCAGCTGAAATGGCGATTTTGGTGGATGGGAGTGTGCTCAGAACGGATCGAAATCATTCCAAACGTGTGGTGTGGTGCAAATTTTGTTGAAGCTCACATGAGATGATATTGTCACTTTTCGCGGCAGGCGCAGTACTTTGTGCGGGTTTTGAGGCATGGAAGTGTGATTTTCGTGGCAGGCGCAGGGAATCGTGAGGTTGCGAGGTGTGACGGAGGTGACATTGCGTGGCAGGCGCAGTACTTTGTGCGCGTTAGACGTGTGGACGCGGAAAGATGCGTGGCAGGCGCAGGGAATCGTGAGGTTGTGAGTTGTGGTAGAGGTGACTGTCGTTGTCTCATTGGGATTGGCGTGTGAGCGGGTGCTGTTTGGAGGGGCTGGAATCGCGAAACTGCTTGGCAGGGCTGCGTGATGTGTGTGCTCCGATGGGTGTTTCCGCTTGACTTTTGGAGGAAGTCTCGTACGAAACGCTCGTTTTGGAGACTTTGACAC